CGAGGGCAGCGGTAGGAGGACTCTGCAGCTACTACATATCACCTCTCATTTAAATTGCCACCGTTCATATTGACTCTCTTTCTCCCTCACACACACACACACACTCCAAAACATTTCTGCACGGCATTTACCCAGAGAGCCTTAGGCGAAGGCGGGAAAACGTCAGATAAGTCACTACACGAAAACCTCGGGTCCCACCAGCTTAGGGTGGGGCTGGGGGTGATGGGAAGAGCTTCCGGGGACCAGGCGAGGGGGCCTTCTGGAGCAGATCTCTGATGAGAGGCTGGGGATCCCTTCGGCCTCAGTGGAGGAACAGCCACGATGCCACCCGTGGCGCCACACAAACACCTTTATGTCCACGACCAGCTGCCCGACGGTCTCAGGGCAACCCCTAGAAGCAGGGAAGGGCCGTCCAGTCCCGAGGATTCCCTACCTGGGAAAACTCTGGAAAAGGGTCGCTTGTCAGAAGTGGCTTGATGGTTATTATTAACTTGCTACATCTTTAAGGTGGAGGACTCTGCAGCTACTACATATCACCTCTCATTTAAATTGCCACCGTTCATATTGACTCTCTTTCTCTCTCACACACACACACACACTCCAAAACATTTCTGCACAGCATTTACCCAGAGAGCCTTAGGCGAAGGCGGGAAAACGTCAGATAAGTCACTACACGAAAACCTCGGGTCCCACCAGCTTAGGGTGGGGCTGGGGGTGATGGGAAGAGCTTCCGGGGACCAGGCGAGGGGGCCTTCTGGAGCAGATCTCTGATGAGAGGCTGGGGATCCCTTCGGCCTCAGTGGAGGAACAGCCACGATGCCACCCGTGGCGCCACACAATCACCTTTATGTCCACGACCAGCTGCCCGACGGTCTCAGGGCAACCCCTAGAAGCAGGGAAGGGCCGTCCAGTCCCGAGGATTCCCTACCTGGGAAAACTCTGGAAAAGGGTCGCTTGTCAGAAGTGGCTTGATGGTTATTATTAACTTGCTACATCTTTAAGGTGCCATAAACTCTTTGGCTCTTATCATATATATCTATACAGTATATCTATATACAGTATGCTGAAACAGCTCTCGCTAGCTCTCTCTCTTTGAAAAACTCCCTTGATATGTTACATCTCCTATGGGGTCAGGAAATACCCCAAATTTACTCTTTGCATGTCTGGATGAGGATCAAACAGAATGGCAACACACAAGGAGAACTGGAATTGCTAATTGCTCATTATTAATCACGGCAATTACGTATTTCAAAAACCACATCTGTCTATCAATCTGTTACTTATGCACTTTTAAAAAAAGAGAAACAACTGTCCTCTTTTTTTTAATCTGCTTTTAGGCAGCGTCTATAAGGAAGGGATTATAGATTGTAATGCAAAAAAGCCTAACCAAAAATCCCTCCCATCAGAAATTTAAACCCAAAATTGGAAGCCTAAACTTTCCAGTACAGTGCTTTGAGTCTCAGTAGTTGCCTTGAGTCCCATTTAGGGGCAGAAAGACTAAGCAATAACAAAATGAAATAAATATAATAATGGTCAGGTGAAGGCACACCATAGAGATGCTATGAGGTAGAGTGTCCTCCTTTCTGAACGCGTTTTAGGGACGCCATGTTGGCCAGTCTACCATAGAGATACCAAAAGGGAAAAAGCACTCGCTAGAACCGCAGAGGGGCCGCCCAGCGCTTTCTCAGTTTCACCATAGAGATGCTGATAGTTCGAACGCCGTACATGGCGGCTCGCCATTTCACCACAGAGCTACACCGAGATAGAGCGGGACCTCCCTGGGCGGCAGACGGCTAAGGAATGTATTTCCGCTCATACCGGAAGCGCCCTGTGTGCCTCTCTAAGCGTTCCCCCTCCTCTCCCTCTCGGGCCACTTCCTGTTCCGCCATTTTGCTTCCCTCCTTCCCACTTCGGGCTTTGTGGGGGGGCGGGGCCTTAAACCGTTTGAAAACAAAAAACAATAAACCAACAACAAGCAGTATAACAATAATAATGATGATAATGCTGTAATAATAAGTTCCTTGACCCCCAAAAAGATGCTGACCGGAAGTTAAAAAAGGGGAAAAAACCCAAACGTGGCTCCCCCCCGCCTTTGAGGGGTGAGTCTGGTGCTGAGTGCTTTTTTTTGGGGGGGAGGGCACCGTTTGAAAACAAAAAACAATAAACCAACAACAAGCAGTATAACAATAATAATGATGATAATGCTGTAATAATAAGTTCCTTGACCCCCAAAAAGATGCTGACCGGAAGTTAAAAAAGGGGAAAAAACCCAAACGTGGCTCCCCCCCGCCTTTGAGGGGTGAGTCTGGTGCTGAGTGCTTTTTTTTGGGGGGGAGGGCGATGGGGGTCTCGTTGGCTTCGTCGAGGGG